TAGGTACCAGGGTTGAACCTAGGGGTGCTTAACCACTGAGCCACATCCCCAGCCCCTTTTAATTTTTTTTATTTTGCGAAAGGGTCTCTACTAAATTGCAGAGACTGGCCTTGAACTTGTGATTCTCCTGCCTCAGGCTCTTGAGTCCATGGGATTATGCCCCCACTGCCACCCGCCTATCATCAGTCTAGTTTTAGTAGTTACATTGTAAACCCAAAATTGCCTAACTGTAAATGCAAGTATGTTGGGATTTTTGATTACAGCAAAGCAACTTTGCACACATTGTTCTCAAGAACACGTTGTTCTCAAGAACACATTGTTCTCAAGAACACGTTGTTCTCAAGAACACATTGTTCTCAATGGAGGACAAATGAGACACCAGGAGAACTTGGGCTGGGCTGTGTTTATGATATCCCAGGAAGGAGGCGGGATGGAGGTCAGGCTCCCTGAGGCAGATAAGTCCAGCTCTTGTATTAGGCCTTCCACACTGTTGGCCTTTAAAGGTCAAAGAAGAACCCTATACCTCCTGATAATCCATTCTAGCTCAACATTGACAAACGCCTATTTCTGTCTGTGTCACCTTCCTGGGTGTTATAATTTCCTGATGACCTTTAGGGGCCTGTCTGCTAACTGCCCTATATTTTCCTTCTTTCAAGTTTCAGCAAGTTCTCCTTAAATTCTAGTATTTTGAAATTAGCCAGCATGCACGGTTTAACCTGCTTTACTCTTAGGATTTTATATGCAAGCTTGGGTCTCCCATTTTGCTGGGAAGGAGTACTAATGCTTTGACTTGCAGCTCGAATAGAGGCCCCAGAGTTCCCCTGGGCATTTCTTATTCTCAAAATGTTATTACCTGTCCCCTGTACAGAACTGGGTGCACACTGATCATGTGGAAGTACCATGGTTTTTGCAGAAGAATGAGACATAGGAATACTATTATCTGGTTTCAAAAAGTAGTCCCCTTCAGGTGGCTATCTTGTTGACCACAGTAGAACTTGCCACCAGAGCATGCCTGGCACACAGCAGCCATTCACAAACAATTGTGAAGTGAATGTCTCTTGGTTTCAGCTTCATGGTGACATATAAGCATGTGTATACATATACACGCATATACATAAGAAATAGCACAAAGAAAGCCTTCAGAATCAACACTTCAGTATTTTTCCCTCTGAAGGAGTCTTTGACACTGGTTCTTTCATATCCGTTATAATCAGTCTAAAATATAACTACAGCAGCACCTCTTAATTGGTGCTCCTGCATTTAAGATCTTAACCCTCCAATCTGTCACCTGGACATATTCTTCTACCATTATTTCCAGCATTTTGATGTCCTTTGGCTGACAGCTTATGATTCACATTCATCTTTCTGCTACTCTGATCTCATCTGGCCTTCCCCATGCACAGACCTCTATCTGTTCCTGCTATCCCAGGGCCATTTTGCAGTCTGGCATTTGAGACCCATGGCTGTACCCTGTGAATCTTGCCTCCTGTGACTCACCCCACTGACTCCCTGTTCTGTACAGCTTTGCCTCCTTGGCATCCCCCAAACACATCTGCCTGCATATTCATCATCCTTTTCCCTTTGTTCCAGTTTCCCAGATTCCACACAACTGTCAGGGTTCAGCTGCAGGAGATGTTTTCCATCCGTTTGGTGGGCTCCAACACTGTGGCTTTAGAGAAACAGGATGACTCTAGCCCTGTGCCAGATGCTAAGACATGAAAACTTTGAAAACACAAGGTTCCCAGAAAGTGGGGAAGCTATCAAGGCCTCCCAGCAGCCAGCTGCAAAGGACAGGCAGTCACACGGCAGCTCTTGTCATGTTCTCATTTTCTCTGGCTTACAGACATTATTTGATTAATATTACAATCTCAGGTGATTTATTTATATCCCAATTGAACATATTTGCTTTTAAAAATGTCTCACGATCTGGAGCCATGAAAGCTGGTATAACAAATACTTCCACTGGTGGCCAGATCTGCCCAGGGCTGAATCTGCACATGATCTGGCTGGTGAAAAGCCAGTGTCACACATTGACTGGAGCAGAGTGTTTTATCCATTTTCCTAGTGAAGTCATGTTACTTACATTTTTTCATTCATTTGATACAAAACAGTGTTGCTTATTTATTTGTTTTTGTGCCAGGGATTGAACCCAGAGCACTTAACCACTGAGCCACATCCCCAAAAACTTTTTTATTTTTAATTTTTTAAAATTTTATTTTGATGCAGGGTCTTGCTAAGTTGCTGAGGCTGGCCTCGAACTGGGGATCCTCCTGCCTTAGCCTCCTGTGTCACTGGGATTACAGGCATGTGCCACCACATCCAGGGCTCTTCTTGGTTTTAACTAAATATAAGGGAATGTCCATTGTAGGGGATTCTGCAAATGACAAAGCCTAAAACAATGTTTCCTTCCTCTCCAAATCTGTAAAGACACTGGGATACAGTAGACCCAAATGTCATTTGGCAATCACAGCAGAAGCATGTTCTCAGGTGGTAGCAAAAACAGGCTCCACTTTCTCCTATTAGACAGGCTGTGGGGTGCTGACTGTGGTCCAGGCAGAGGCCCCACCCATGCCAGATCTTTACTGGGTTCAAAGGAAAGGTTTGGATGCAGCAGGCAGCAAGAAGGTTCTATAGTATCCCCTAGAGGGAAAGGAGAGGGGGAGCTGAACTGCTGAGCTAATTGGCACCTCGGGATGCCAAATCCAGGGAAAAGGGAAAGAAAAGCAAAGAGGAACAGAGGGAATACACTTACTGGCACACCAGAGCCCTGTTTCTTGATTTGATATATTTCTGATTGCAAGAGCACTCAATGATACACACACACACACACACACATACATATATGTGATATAAAATGATATCATATATAAAATGGGTTGGAAAGACGTTTTTCAACTAGACAAGAATTCCACAAGCACTTGCATAAAAATTTAAAATGGCATAACATCTCAATATGGAGATGATGGACAATTTGAGATATATCCTTATCACAGAATGTTATGTAGTCATAAAAAATAATATAAGTTTATAGAATTGAGGCAAGAGATTTTTACCAAGTATTATTATATGAAGAATGAGGAATGCCCTGGATGTGGTGGCACATGCCTGTAATCCCAGTGACATAGGAGGCTAGGGCAGGAGGATCCCCAGTTCGAGGCCAGCCTCAGCAACTTAGCAAGACCCTGCATCAAAGTAAAATTAAAAAAAAATAAAATAAAAAATAAAAAAGTTTTGGGGATGTGGCTCAGTGGTTAAGTGCTCTGGGTTCAATCCCTGGCACAAAACCAAAAATTTTTAAAAATCCATTTTTTAAAACCTATGTGTGTATTAAAAGCAAACAAATACATCAGTGTAAACAACATTAGAAACTGAATGGATAAGAATGAGAAACAGGAGAGGAAGAGGGTGATTGGAAATAAAACAAAACAAAAACAATGAAAAATAACAGACTCTCCAATAAAAAACAATAATTATATAAAGTTATATATATGCACATATTTAAAATCCAAATTGGAGGTGTGTTAGTGCATCTCAGGGTAAATATTTCACGTATTTTTATACTTTTTCTTATACTTGCCTACATTTTAATGTGATTATAAACATTATGCAATCAGAATTATTTTCAGTAAGAAAAAAATGTAAGTGATTAAAACATTGACAGCATAAAAATGTTTCTTAAGTCTTCCTGGTCAAAACACAATCCACTAGTAGAGTTTTGCAACATTCATGACCAAAAGAGGTTTTTGCAATCATCTTCAAAATGGAGAAAAACCGAAGTTCAAAATTAATAATGGTCATACGTATTTTAAGCATCTTGAAATTAGGGTCTAAAATCTAATTTTTAATGCTTTTCCAACAGCTTAGCACATACACAGTGCTCAATCAATTCTCGTTAATTGACAAGCACATGTCAAATCACATGAATTATTATATCAAAGATGTTATTATTTGATACACAAATGCTATTAAGAGTAAAATCTCATCTAAAAAATAATATGAGAGCCAGAGCAGGTTTGATGAAAATGAGTTAAATATGAAATTTAATCTGGGGGCTGGGGATGTGGCTCAAGTGGTAGCGCGCTCGCCTGGCATGCGTGCGGCCCGGGTTCGATCCTCAGCACCACATACAAAGATGTTGTGTCCACCGAAAACTAAAAAAAAATAAATAAATAAATAAAAAAAAAAGAAATTTAATCTGTCACAAAAACAGTAATAAAACTAATACATAACAATTTTTTTCCTCCTGCTCTGGTTATACTAAATGCACCTAGCTGGGTGCAGTAGTGCACATTTGTAATCAGCGCAACTTGGGAGGTTGAGGAAGAAGGATCGCGAGTTCAAGACCAACCTTGGCAACTTGGCCAGACTGTCTCAAAATAAAACATAAAAATAGCTTGGGATGTAGCTCAGTGGTAAAGTACCCCTGGGTTCAATCCCTAGCACTATAAAAAAAATGGAAAAAGAAAAAGAAATACGTAGTATTCAGCTTTGTTACCTGTGTTTCTGTAGTCTCAGGGCTGTATGTTATCTACATACTCCATGACAACTGAATACCACTAATTTCTGCTTATTATTGTGGATATGAGAGTTATGACATTAGCTACCAAGCATAAACAATCATAAACAATTTCTAGGCCAGGCCCATCTTCAAAACACTAAACTGCCGTTACAGTTCTGACTATAAGAAGCAACTGTCTTGCAGAAAAGCGCAGCTTTTCATTCTTCCAGGGCTGCTCTCTTTGCAGGGCAGTAGAAATGGATGTCCCCCAGCTGGATGGAGAGCTGCCTTGTGAAAAGCTACGGAGTACCCTCAACAGGGCGATTTGGCACCAAGATCACCCAGGGCAGAGGTGGAGCAGGGGCTACTGCCCTTGATCCTTGAGGCCTGGGACCTCCACTGCTGTAGGAACTTCTCATCTGCAATTCTGTGAAATGGCAAGTACTATTAGGCAGCACAAAACTAATTTTATACATCCAATCTTTTCAAGTAAAATACTTACCTGGACTAACAAGTGGCCTGAATTAGGCAAACACGTCTCACATTTCTTGGTGTTCTCCTTTATTTGCTTTACCAAATTTGTCAATATTTCTACAGCACCTTTGCTGATCATTTCATTAAGAAATCTTGGATTTCCGGAAATGAATTTAATAGTCCCCGTACAGTATAAAAAAGCTTCACTGTTAGTTTGCAGATCTTCACTTCTCAGTACCTCTAATAATGATTCTGACAAAAAGATGAATTATTATAAATGTCTGAGTATAACAGCTTGAGAGAAATACATTAAAGCACTTGTTTGTGAACATCAAATACAATTTGTGAGCTATATTTGTCCAAAGGTACATGTAAATGCTTGTTAAGAGTCACTCAAGTAAGAAGAGCTTACTTTTAGCTACAACAGATCTCTGTAATAGTAATGATGGCAAAAGGGTAGACTTACTAATACATAAATAAGAAGCTATTCTTTTGGGCTGGGGTAGTGGCTCACTGGTAGAGCGCTTGCCTTGCACATGTAAGGCCCTGGGTTTGATCCTCAGTACCACATAAAAAAATAAATAAAGACTTTTTTAAAAAAGCTATTTCTTTTAATCAAATGCCACTCCTTACCTCTTACTAGTATTTACCAGTCTTAATTTTTAGTTACAAAAATTTCAGGTTATTATAGAATACTAATAATCAAAGTATTTTATTTATTTACTGGGTACTAGAGATTGAAACAGGAGGTGGGAGGCTTTACCACTGAGCTATATCCCCAACCCTTTTAAAAAAACTTTTAAATTTTGAGACAGGGTCTTGATAAATTTCTGAGACTGGTCTCAAACTTGTGATCATCCAGCCTCAGCCTCAGAAATTGCTGGGATTACAGGCCAGTGCCATCACACCCAGCATTAACTCTTAAAGCATTTTAAGAGTTTGACTGTTTTGGGTACAGTGGTGCACGCCTGTAATTCCAGTGCCTTGGGAAGCTGAGGCAGGAGGATTGCAAGTTCAAGGCCAGCCTCAGCAACTTAATGAGACCCTGTCTCAAAATAAGAAATAGAAAGAGCTGGGGATGCACCCCTGGGTTTAATCCCCGTTACCAAGAGTTAGATATCAACAAACCTTGAAGGTTTTTTTTTTTTTTCTGTATTAAGGGAAAATAAGTCAAGAGAGGAGCTTAAACTCAATCACACTAGAAAGGGATAAGTTGAATATAACATCCACGCTTTCCCAAAACAATTAAAGAACCTTCATCCAAATGACATACAACTATGGGTTTTATGAGAAATCCAGGAACTCTAGTAAGGGTAATTATGCATATCTCATATTTAAATTGCTAAGGCTGGCTATGAACTTGCAGTACTCCTCATAGTTACATTTCTTAATGTCTGTGTGATCATTGTCATATTTGTTTTCAGCTGACACTTCTCAGTTAGCTGATTCAGTGCTAGACATTTCTTTCTGCACTGGTTATGTCCCAGTCCTCTTGGGCTACAAAAGATATTAAGATCATTTATCCTGTGTTACCAAAAGAGGACTGAGAGTGTTTTCCATGTTACTGCCTTCTCCTATACTAGCAACATTAATTCATAAAATATTTCCATTTATATAACTAAACATCTTAATTATTTAGAGGTGTGTCAAGAATTAGGCATTATTAGTTCGGTAGTCAGAATGTAATAAAACTCCACCTACATATTTGATTTTTTCTTCAATACCGGGGATTGAATCCAGAAGCAACTCTATCACTGAGCTACATCCCCAACTCTTTTTATTTTTTATTTTGAGACAGGGTCTCATTAAATTGTTGAGGCTGGCCTTAAACTTGCAATCCTCCTACCTCAGCCTCCCAAATTACTGGGATTACAGGTGTGCACCATCACACCTGGCTCACATTTGAAATATTTTGGTGTCAGATTTCTATAATACTTACAGATGTCTTTTAATTTTAGTCATTTCTACTAGATCAAAAGACTAAAATTTTCAATTTTGAAAAAAAATTAAAAATTTTTAATTATGCCAAAAACTATTGTGTTTTTTCTAATAGTGAATCCATGTCCCAGAGATGGATTTTCAAATGCTTCTTTGTAAACTCACATTGTATTACTATAAGTATTTATAAAACAAAAACAAAAACTTGTCTGTCATACTAGACTCCAAATGATACATTAAACAGAATGTGGAAAACTCAGAGAAGGAGGAGCAAAAGTAAACATTATATGACTTCTGCATGTTACTGGAAGACACAACATTCTTGCCATCATTAATTATAACCTTTCTCTCCAGATGGTTCATTTGTGCTGTTCATTTGCTTAACTGTGGCACTGAATGATACTCACCTAGGATGCTGTCATTTTGAATCAGCGAATCGTTCTTCTCATTCCTGCTAATTTTAAATATAAGTTTGCAGACATTAAGTAGATTCTTTCTACTCACTTTTAGCTGCAGAGAAAGAAAAACACTTCCGTTTCTATTGCGGAGAGAAATAAAGATCTGGCATATTCTTAAAAACACAAACTTCTCTATTAAAAGCCTAGCAAGATTATTTTTAAACATAAACATTCTGAAGAAATCAAACTTTAAAAAGTTTAGTTTAAATATTTGCCAACTATGGTATCTAATTAATTTAGTTATACTAAATACAATACAAATGATCTTTTGAGTAAGAACATTTTAATAACAAGCATTTCTTTCTTACCTCATAATGTCAAATTGATATCTAAAGTTATTACTTACTTTTAAAGAATATAGGAAAAAGGCATATAATTTAACAAATTTAATTAAATGGCAAAGTTGATTTAAAACACAAAAGCAAAGGATGATGAATGCCAAAATTTCAGATTAAACTATTTTTGAAAAGAATCCATAGTGGAAGTGAAGGAAAAAAATAAAGGGAAAAATATGTCCTCTACATAAATTGCATAAAAGAAAATTTAAAAACTAGTAGTATTTGATTAGATTGTATATATATTTAATTTTGAGGCTATTTCTGGAATGCTTTGAGATAATTACTGATAAATGAGTTTGAAAATTATCTTCTAAATAAAACAAAAATATCTAAATGAAACACAAGGCAATACAAAAATATACTTCCTTTTTAAAAACATACACACAATAGGGTGACTTGCTGAATCAAATGGTCTAAATCATCTGTGTATTTATCTGAAGTAGTAAGAAATATTAAATATTAAAATCATCAATATTATTAATAATTATTAATATTATAATTATTGTATTATATTTTCATATATTATGAATTATAAATATTTATAGATTATAACTATAAATATAATATAATACATTACTTTATAATTATATATTATAATTCTATAATATAATTCTATAATATTATGATTGTTATGATTATTAATATTATATAATTAATTATTAATATTATTAATATTAAAATCCTAAATGTCCAATATTAGGGAAGAGTCTAATGAACTGTGGAACTGTAATATTATTCTTATTAGGCAGTTGCAAAACAGTGTAACCGCAAATGTTATGCTTAAAAAAGAAAAGCATCTAGAACCCACTATTAGATGGGAATATCAAGTACTTTCATTGCAACAAAGTAAAAATGTAGGAACGAGGTCATCTAATCAAAAAAAATTTCTATGTGAAAAGGATACATAAAGGTCATTATTTGACTATTAAAAGCTATTTTTAATATTGTTAATTAATAAGTTCCAGTTAGTTTTTTTTTTAATATTTCCAGAAATATTTGTTAAGGATTTGTTCTGTTTGGCCACCAAGTGTCTCCTGAGTGCTTTCTGTGTGCCAGGTGCTGTACTGTTTGCTGATGGAGACGGCAAAAAGCATGCTGTCAGTCTCAGGCCAGAGGAGCAAAGGGAGTGGAGCATGGCCCATATGTCACTGGTCCCTGCCCCTCCAACCCTAGGCTCTTTTCATAAGTTACCTCACAGATATTCTGCATGAGAGGTGTTGCCATTCCCATTTTTCAGCTGAAGAGTGTGTGCTTGGACAGACCACAGGACCTGGGCATGCACTAGGAAGATAGGCTCTCAGGTCCCACCAGCCCTACTGAGTCAGAATCTGCATTCTCAAGGGATTCACATGTGCCTTAAAGTCTGAGAGGCAACATTTAGGAAGCCTTAGAAACCCCAACACATGGAGCCTTCTTGCTCTCAGGCAGAAAAGGAAATGGGAAATTTAAAAAGTATCTATTAGAGCTGGGGATATAGCTCAGGGGTTAAGTGCTTGCCTAGCCTTTGTAAAGTCCTGGGCTCAATGCCTGGCACAGGGGGAAGAGTTATTGAGTAGGTAGGTGTTTAGAACAACATTATTTAAAAACTTAGAAAATAAGCTGACTTAAGAAAACAGAAAAATGTTTCTATATTAATGGAAAAATAGTATATATAAGATTTGGGAATATATTTAAATCAGTTGACTATCTTCTACTAAATTGTGTGTCCTTATGGACAAAACTATGATTTATTTCCTAAGTATGGTATGTAGCATGAATTCCATGCTTAACAAAATTTGTTCAATGAATATAATCACCCCCTACCCACTGTGAGTCTTACATTTTTAGCGAAAAGTGACAAGGAAAAAAAAACTGGTTTCAGGGTTTTCATCAAAATAACAACAGGAAGAAGAAGAAGGAGAAGAGGAAGAAGAGGAAGGAGAAGAAGAAGAGGGAAGGGGAGAGGGAGGAGAAAAGAAAAGATAAAGCCAGTGTGGTGGTGCTTGCCTGTAATCCCAGTGGCCTGGGAGGGTAAGGCAGGAGGATCCAGAGTTCAAAGCCAGCCTCAGCAACTTATTGAGGCCCTAAACAACTCAGTGAGACCCAGTCTCTAAAAAAAAAATACAAAAAAGGGCTGCGGGAGTTGCTCAGTGGTTAAGCACCCCTGGGTTCAATCCCAAGTGCCAAAAAAAAAAAAGAAAAAGAAAAAGAAAGAAAGAAAGGAAAGGAAAGAAAGATACACATAATTTCCAGGCCTAGTATATAGCTTAGGTCAATTTACATGCAAAGCAAATTCTTATAACTTCTCTATTGATAACTGAAAAATTATGACTTTAAGACATGAAAAGGTAATAAAATATGTCATTATATGCAAGAATTACAGGCTGCCCCATAACAATCACCACTTTCCATGCCCCTTACTCCCTGTGCTTTGGGGTGTCTTCTCCCCACAGTACTTGCTGTGCTCTTTGTACTTGATGCTTCTGCTATTTCCCCTGCTACAGTGCCCACAGGAGTGGGGAAGGCTATTTTATTCATATATTCCAAGTTTTAGGAAGAATTCCTGACAATATAGGTTCTAGTGGCAGGGTAATTTTCTTTTTAAGTAAAAAATAGTAATTTTATTCTATTTAAAGCAAAAGTTGGCAAACTAAATAAAAGTAAGAGAAGTTTAAAATCATCATACTACCACTATATATAATCACAGTTGACACACTGGTATTTCTTTTTTGTTTGCCTAAGGTGATAGATTCTACCCCCAGAATAGAGCTACATTCATACTGTGTATATATTTGTATACTTTAAAACTATCTTAATATAGACTGACATATTTTTGTAAGCTGTTTTGATATAAAGGTTAAAATTAAAATGGCTGTCTGGCAAATCTCCATTGAACCAAAGAATGCAAGAAAACAGAACTAACATTATGCTTACTCAGTGTTTTTAACTATAAATAACTTTAAATGTCTGAATTATAATACTAAACTGGTAGAGGGAATAAATATTGGCAGGAAGAAAAGAAGCAGTGAAAACTTCATGTTTCATGTATCTTTAGTCTTTGCTGATTTATCTTTTGACATTTCTTTTGATGTGGTCCTTTAAAAATTTACGTAGAACTCCATCACTAAGTCTAATCAGAACAGGATCTTGCCTGTAATGTCATAAGGGATTCAGAAAGTAGATGGGCTGGATGGAAGTTGGACTGGATGGTTTCACAGGTCCCTTCTCACCCGGTAATTCTGTAGTTAAACAGAGGCAAAAGCCACCCAACCCTGGAGTTTGAAATACAGAGTCTTGCCTTCAACCAGCAAGGTGACCACTGTCACCAGGAGGTCATTACCTAATCATATGCCCAGTTCAGAACATGTTCTCTGCCTGTCAGATCATTTAACCTTTTGCCCTTAGAGAGTTAAATTGTGTCCTGTATGTAATCAATTTGAATGACTCATTATTAACCAAGATGAATTTTCTCCAAAGCATTAATGGATTCATGAATGCCTATTTCTTTTCTTTTTTGACCTGGTATGGAACAAGATATCTAGGAACCAGATGAAAAAGGAAAGGCGAATTCTTAGGCACTGGCAGCCTGGGTCCTTCATAATTTCACATTATGTGAATAACCCAGCATTAACAGAAAGCTTTTACTTTTATGAAACCAGGTTAACAAAGCTTCATTCATTTGTTTTTGCGGCTCTCTTAGAACATTCTATAATAATTGTGGCTTATCTTTTGGTTCCAACTGTTTATGGCTGTGACAACAAAGCACTCCCCTCAAACAATGATAGCATTTTGTTCTAGACAGAGTTCTACAGACTTTTATTTGGTGTCTGGCCTTTTCTTCTAACACTTTACAGGAGCCTTCGATGACCACTGAAGGACTTTCCTGTGACCACACGCAGCTGTTTTCCTCTTTCACACGGTTCATAAAGCACCTGGCCATTATGTCTGTGACCCAAATTACTTTATTTCCTAAATCATATGACAGAATCGAGCAGCCAGTTGAAACCACAGGACAGAGGCCACAGCCTACATGGCTTGATACTGATCTCCAGTCGTTACTTGAGCAACTGTTTTGAATATATTTGCCTATTGTTGCTTTTTTTCTTTTCTTTCTCGATCTTCCTTTTGCTTTCTTTCTTTTAAAAAAAAAAAAATATATATATATATATATATAGTCACATTCCAAATATAAGAGATCTTCGTTTGAACACTGTCTATGTTCTCAGCCTTAGTTCCTTAGATAATACTTCCTAGTCAAATTCTGGGATGCCAGTTTATTACTTTTATTTTTTAAGAATCTAAACAAATACATGGCGTTTCTAATATTCTTTGTAATATTTACCAAATAAAAATCATTTCATAAAGTTTGCATGTGCTACAGTCTAGTAGACCAGAGGAAAGAACAACTTACTGCAAGGATAATTTTTGCAAGTTTAAGGCTGAGCAAGTCTGAACCAACATCAACTAGTTTATACAGAGTCTTCAGGAGAATACTTCTTCTCTTAAATTTATTTCCAAGCATGTTTCCTTCTTCTAAAGCGTGATGAAGTTGTGTGCAAGCAGCACAAACTGTTTCAATGTTCTCTTCTGTCAGAGCAAAAGACAGTAAAGCAACACTTACTAATTAAGGTTAAGTTTTCAGGTGCATCACACACAGCATAAGTGAAAACCCCTCAGTTATTTCCCCAGACATCTTCAAGTTCATGAGCTCTATTTCTCCTTTCTTGCCTCACCTCCATTAACTTGATTTTTTTCCATCTCTTTGATCTAGCTCCTACCTTGCTGACTCACTAATCAGTCAATTAACTTATCTAGAATACACAATCTTTCAAAGAGGGTATTAAAGAATGGGATTGCCACCTATTTTAGTTAGTCTCCTTCATTCCAAATGCCCTCCATTGGACCTGTGCTCTGTTCAGTCCCACAGAGGCATGTCACTTGCGCCTCTGTCTTCAACCCTTTCTGGCATAGTTTCACTGGCCTAGAATATTCTTCTTATCCTTGGTTCTTATCCATTTTGTCCTTCAAGTCTTTGCGTTTCGGCTCCCCCAGAAACAGTGCCCAATTCCACATTCAACCAACATTACCTGAGGCTTTTATTGATTTTTTTACTTATGTGTGTGTGGGGGGTCATGTTATGTACCTGATGTCTTCAAACAGATGTCATACCAAGTAAGTAGGAACATTGTCTTACGTATCTCTGTATCAAGAGCACTTGGTACCATGAGAATACTGTACAATCTGCAACAATTTCATACATATTCATTTGATAATATATCATTGATAAAAAAAAATGATCAATATTTTCCTGTAAGAAAATTGTTATTTGAGAAAAAGGGGCTCTTATAGGACAAAACTTCAAAATGTCACCAAATTTACCATTATTTGAAGAGAATAAAAAGATTTTGGTTAGAAAACAGGGAGACCTAAGGACATTTTATTTTATTTTTTAAAGCAGAACAGATGGTTTTATTTTAGACCTTCAGTGAAAGTAGATTAATGTTGTCCCAAGAAAACATGGATCTGAGAATTTCAGATGAATACCTGCTTTACTGCCTGGTATCAAATCCTGTTTGTTTGTTCGTTTTTAACCCTGTCTCTGCAGATTTACCCCCTTTGCTCCAACACACACTCATTACTGTGGGTCTGATCCTCATGTCCACTGCTGGGTTGAACAGCAAAGGAACATTTTATTTTATAATTATGATTCTGAGGAAAATAATTTTTGAAAGTGGCAGCCATAAAAGAGGCATATGAGGAAGAAAAGTATCATACAAAAGGGAACATAAGGAAAAATAAAAGATTGCAAGACATACTAAGGTAGTCAATTGAAAAATATTCTCTCTGATAGATTCCATCACAAAATTTAAAAGTGAGAAACCAATCTTAAATAAATACCATAATGTGCTCTTAGAAGCCCACATAGAGGAAGTGTGTGCCTGCAGAAGGAAATGACTCAGGCCATTTTTAGCTCTTTTCAACAATAACATCTAAGAAAAAATTTTTAAACCTCAATAGCTAAGTAACCTTCAATGCCTTTCAGTTATGCACTTAAATAAATGAATTGATGGGAAATGACTGAGACAGACTTTAAATAAAGGGGAAAATCTGAACTCCATTGTGTGAATACTTTTGTCAAGTTGTTTTATTGTTCTGTGCCTGGCAGTTTCTTCATAAGCCCCAAGTCCAGCGCTGGGTCACTTAGGGGCAATGAGGGGTCCTCAATGTATTTATCTAGCACTTCCCCTTAAATGCTTCAGTCTGCTGGGTTCTATTCAAGATGGCTTGTTTTAGTTTATTTAAAAAGGAAGGCCCGAGGGCCAAAATTTAAACCACTGATCAAATAAACTCTGTTATCAATTAGTTATAACCGTCACAAATGTCATGCAGCTTCCAAAGACAACTTGAAACTGAGAGCTGAGACTTTCAATGGGCTAAAGGTAGAGGGTGAGAGCTGGACACACAATAGAGGGGGAAATGATCTGAGTTACTTCTCCCCACAAGATACTTATTAATTACCAAGGGGAAAAGAGCAACTTACCGAGGATCAACCTGGCAGTCCCCACCTGACTCAGGTGATCAAAATTCTTATCTCCAGAACAGGAGCAAATCAGTCTTGAAAAGGAGGCAGCACCTTCCTGTGCGATAAGCCTGCCCCCAAAGCCCAACCTGGATCTCACTGTGAGAAAACACCAGTCAAACCCGATTTATGGGACTGTCTATAAAATAAATGGCCTCTATTCCTCAAGTATGTCAAGATGATGAAAGAGACACAACAAATGATTGGAACTTGTGATCCAAGATTTTCTTCTTCTATAAAGGAAATTAGCAAGACAAATGACAAAATCTAGTAAGATTTGTACAGTATTACATGATAATTTTCAGTTATTTAAAAGAACACCCTTATGTCTAAAAACACATGTCAAAGTACTGAGGGACACAGGACATCAGGTTGACAGCTTGTTCTCAAAAGAAAAAATTGATGTGTGTGTGGAAGGGGTAGAGAAAGAGAAAGGGAAGGAAGGAGAGAGTGATAAAGCAAATGTGATAAAATATTAATATTGGGGGACTCTAAGTGAAGAACACATAGAATTTTTTCTTTTTGGTACTGGGGATTAAACCCAGAGGTACTTTACCACAGAAATACTTCTCCATCCATTTTTTAATTTTTTTTTAAATTTTGAGACAGGATATCACTGAATTTGATGAGGCTGACCTTGAACTTGTGATCCTCTTGCCTCATTCTCCCAGGTAGCTGGGATTACAAGTGGGTGCCACCGTACCTGGCCATTTTTCCCCCTACTACTCTTGCAATTTTTCTTTAAGACTGAAATTATGCCAAAAAAAGTTTAAAAAAATCCCAAGGGGTCAAGTAATCCAGCTTTGTCATCATTTGGTGTTATTAAGAGTTTTCTAATTATCAAAAATACAAGTAATAATAAATTTGTTTATTAACAAAATATTGGCTAGGATGTGTGGGAAAAGGTTCACTCACACATTGCTGGTGGGACTGCAAACTAGTGCAACCACTATGGAAAGCAATATGGAGATTCCTCAGAAAGCTTGGCATAGAACCACCATTTGAAGTAGTTATCCCACTCCTTGGTATATACCCAAAGGACTTATATCAGCAGACTGTAGTGACACAGTCACATAAATGTTTATAGCAGCTCAATTAAAAATAGCTAAGCTATGGAACCAATTTAGGTGCCTTCAACAGATGAATGGATTAAGAAAATATGGTATGTATACACAATGGAATATAACTCAGCTATAAAGAAGAATGAAATTATAAGAATTAAATTTGCCAGTAAGTGGATAGAACTGGATACTATAATGCTAAGTGAAATAAGCCACTCCCCCAAAACCAAAGGTTGAATGTTTTCTCTGGTATGTGGATGCTAACACACAATGGGGGTGGTCAGGAAGAATAGAAGTACTTTGGTTTAGACAAAAGGGGATGAAGGGAAGGGAGGTAGGGATGGGAATAGGGAAGACAGTAGAATGAATTGGACAGAACTTTCCTATGTTCACATATGAATACAAAACCAATGAAACGCCACATCACGTACAACTGCAAGAATGGAATCCTACTAGAATAAGTTATACTCCATGTATATATAATATGTCAAAATATACTGTCATATATATCTAAAAAGAACTTAAAAAGTTGTCTAGGGAGAGAGATGACATATTTCAGTGTTTAATGATCCATCTGAGAAGGAAGACTTGTCAACATGTCCAAGTCCCAACTCCTCAGTTGGCATGCTAAATTCTCTGTTGGTGGCAGTGGTAAACAGATCCCTTGGCATCCTTTTAAAATCCTGCAGGCTGACAACCTCCTCCAAGCCAGGTCTTAGTGGTGCTCTTTCCTCAACTGAGTGTTTCTTTTTTAATCCTTACCCAGACCTACTGATCTTCTCACTAGGTTTTGCAATCTCTCAAAAAGGGCCCAAAATTCACATGTGCAGTAATAGGATGGTGAAAGTTAATAAGTCTAGAACAGAAAAAGTTGTCACATTCATAAGTTTAGGACTTGGAGCTGCAGAGCACTTGAAGACACTACTGCATCTGGAGTTGAGATGAATCCCTGCAGTGGTAACCTAGTTAGTAGCAACACCAAGGACAGGAACCTGTGCAGGGCTCTCCTATTGCTGTGAACACAGCCTAGCACCCAAAGGGAGCCAGGGAGGGGCGAGTCATTTGAACGTGTAGGCAGCAGGCCTTTGCAGGCCTTCCCTGTCTGTCTGCAGGGGGATCATACACTGTGCTTCTAGAGCCTCTTCCTGTGGCTGCCAATGCTGGCATCCAAGGAGCTTTCAGCCAACAGTTCCTACTAGGAGCCTATGGAGTACTGGGTGCCAAACACTGGGCTTGGCTGTAGACTATGACCACAGCTCCACAGGAATCTTGTTCACCATCAGAAATGGAATCCCTGAGGAGCTGCAACAGGGAGGCAATGGGAAGCCAAGCCCTGACAAGCTTCTCATCGCCTTTTCAGGGACCCATCAAGTGAGGGCCTTCATTCCAGAATGCCAGGGCTGGGGGCATCCCAGGTTACTTCCTGTGCCATGAATGGCATCTCTGACGTATGTACTTAACCTCAGGAGAGAGGATGTGTGCACAGCCAAGAAAACCATGGGCACCACTTGCAGGATGCCAGTCTGAGACTCAAATCAGTTTTAGAGGCCTGAAATCTGTTTTAATCTTTCACTTTCTAGAATATGAACAGTGTCCCTAGAGAGATTAAGCCAGCATTTCCTTGAGCAGAAGTGATCCTAAATTTGTATTATGAGAGGAATTTCGAAGTCAACTCTCTTGGTGCATTTAAAGTATAATTTGCTCACTAACAATTTGGTTTACATGTAGTATTTAATACCCACATTACTGAGGATGACTTCCTTTTTTTGGGGGGAGTTGTTTGTTTGTTTTAGGTACCAGGCATTGAACTCAGGGGCACTCAACCACTAAGCCACTTCTCTAGCCCTATTTTGTATTTTATTAGGGACAGGGTCTCACTGAATTGCTTAGCACCTCGCTTTTGCTGAGGCTGGCTTTGAACTCGAATCCTTCTCCCTCAACCACCCAAGCTGCCGGGATCACAGGTGTGTGCTACTGCACCCGGCACTTCATTTGTTTTTGAACAGGTTCACAGAAGATGGTCAAAGTACACTAAAAAATCAGGGTAACAGGGAACATACACATAACCACAGATAATTTTTATTTAAAACAAGAATTTTTTTACCCTTTTCTAATTCATGCAAAATTGGTACGATCCTTGTATTCCAAAAGACTTCATCTACTTCTATTTCGGTATCCTTTTCTTGCAAGTTGGCTTTTGAGACTGCAAAAGAAATGCAGAGTGTGAGAAAGGAGCCGTAATGGAGCATAGTCAAAAGCCTTTCCTATTTATCACTCCAGTTAAAAAGCTACAGGATTAAGTTTCACTTTGCCCCCAACCCAATTAATTCTAATGAGAACTGTAGGTCTTCTAATCAAATCACCTCAAATTAAACTCAGATAATATAAAAAAATGTTAAAATATGATTGGGATAATTCATAAAGCATTAAACTTTGTGAATGATGGTGACTGGTAAGGCAAACTGTTTTGAGTTTTTGTTGTTGTTGTTGTTTAGACATACCCCTCTGCAGTACAGAATAGACAAGGATAAATATGTAAAGAACACAATTTCAAGCATATTTCTTCACATGCCTAAAATTCCAGCAATTCAGGAGGCTAAGGCAGGAGGATTGCAAGTTTGAGGCAAGCCTGGGTAACTTAGTGAGACCCTGTTTCTTAAAAAGAAAAAAAAAAAAGCTGGGATGTTGCTCAGTGGTAGAGCTCTATTGAAAAATAACAACAACAAAACTGAATAAAGTCTCCAAAAATGCTCAATGAAAAAAATTCTAAAACAAAGATCTGGAAGGACTTTCTTTTCTGTAGAAATTGTATGCTGGTTACCTTCTAAGAAATGGTATGGGGTTATCAGCATTAATGCCAAGTGATTTTGTGTGAGGTAGCAGGAGATGCCTGGGCTTCCCCCTACCCCAACTCCATCATTCATGCATAGGCTGAATGGAGTCTAGTTTGAGCCCCAGTTTCCTCATCAGCAAAACAGAGGTTAGAATATTTAAGTTCAGGGTTATGAAAACCAAAAGACATGATATAGGTAAAGCTCTCAGCCCAATGTCATGCATCTAGCCATACACAATATCTAAGAATTTAATTTCCTTGATTAAACAAACAGGAATTGCTATCTGAATGTGTCACAGATTCGTCATCAAGAACAGATGCTGCCTTGCATATAGGCTCTGGAGAATGATGCTACCCTTGACTGTGCACTTGGCCTCTATTTCATTTTTATAACCACACCATGAAGAGGCCCCAATTTTTCTCTATCATTCAGATGAAGAAAGTAGAACCCAGGGGTATTACATTATCAGCCTAAGGTCATAAGGTCCTTGCACTTGACCTCTAAGATATTCTGCCCCATAGCAGATTAAACTAGACTGCAACCCAACAGACTAAAGGTGACACGGTGGGGGGGGGGGGAGAAAGGGGTGTAAACCATGTTAAAAACTGAAAGTCATGATTACATTTCACACAGAGTTATCTCAAGATTGAAACACTAGCTATCTAGCTGGAAGGGGCATAGCTACCCAGAGGCCTTCCTGAGAAGGGCTGGAGAACATTACTTAGCCTCTTCTCTGAAGGCTACCCACTAAGCCCATTATGTGGCATCCAGTTTATAATGGGGTCAGGGAGCCCATACACCCTCAGAGTGGACCTGGCAGCAGTTAGGTGTCCAGTCCACACAATGAATGCCTGAACCCTAAAAATATCACATGAAATGTTAGAAATCAGAGGAGCAATAAGAAGGTTCACACACACACACACACACGTTATTTGTTTGTTGGTTAGTTTGTACTAGAGATTGAACCCAAGGGCTCTTAACCACTGAGCCACATTCCCAGTCCTTTTTTTTTTTTTTAATTTTGAGACAGGATTTTGCTAAGTTGCTTAGGGTCTCACTAAAGTTGCTAAAGCTGGCTTTGAACTTGCAATCCTCCTGCCTCAGCCTCCCAAGTCACTGGGATTACATGTTTATACCTCTACTCCTGGCTTCACGTTGTTTTAATTTTTAAAAAAGAAAAGTGGACCAATGTAGACGTAAGAGCACAGTGTCTGGGTTGGAATCCTAGCTCTCCCACCTACTCGCTGGTTGACTTTAGGCAAGTTGCTTCACCTTTCCTCTTTAAGATGGGGTAATGATGGTCACCTCTAAGCATTGGGATTATGGATTATTTATTTCTTTATATGTGCTCTTCTGTATTTTCTAAAACCTCTACTGCCCTTGTATCGCTCTTAGAGAGATACAAATAAACAACACATAGTAAATATACATATATATGTCTTAGTAAATATCTGTATTGTAATTTTCTTAAGAGTTAAAATGAAATTTTCTGAAATAAGAAATCCAAAAATAAAATCCTTTCTCAATTATCTATATAAACAGTAGAAAAATCCATGGATAACCCATAATGGCATGTATTTAAAAAGTTATTTGAATTCAGAGATGTCTAAAATGAATCAAACCATCAAATGAGAAATTTTCCAAGCACATAACACTGATATATCCCAGGAGAAGCAGAGAAGCTGTACAGTGTACTTATTCCACCAACACTCCCCTCCTGCACTGTGTGACAGAAGTAACCATTCCCAGTTACAAGTCCAACTTGCTTTTTATAGACCTTCCGAGTACCAAGAGAGGCCCATACACACTGGGCCCGAGGAGGAGCACTGGGAGCAAAAGTAAACAGAAAGGGCCTCTCAACAAAGCTGTAATTACACAATTAAGGTCCTGTGAATGGTCTATCTAAATCATAAGCAAGACTTCACCATAAAATACAAAGTTGAATTGTCTTCAGGACAAAAATCAGTCCACATCAGTACAGGTTCAGAGTCCTTTATCCAAGACCTTCGGGACCAGGTGTGGTTTGAGAATCAGAAGTGTTTGGGGTTTAGAAAGGCAGTACTAGCTGTGTGCGGTGGCACATGCCTGTAATCCCAGAAATGTGGGAGACTGAGGCAGAAGGATCACAAGTTCAAGGCCAACCTCAGCAATTTAGTGAAAATCAGTCTTTTTAAATATTTATTTATTTATTTATTTTAGTTATAAAAACCTCTTCATCCCACCTTTTAATTTTTATGTGGTGCTGAGGATCGAACCCAGTGCCTCACATATGCTAGGTGAGCACGCTACCACTGAGGCACAACCCCAGCCCGTGAAACTCAGGTCTTAAAATAAAAAAAATAAAATAAAAATGGCTGGAGATGTAGCTTTCTGGTAGAGTGTCAGTGGGTTCAATGCTCAGTACTAAAAAGAAAAGAAGAAAAGGAAAGGAGGGAGAGCAGAAAGGAAGGAGAGAAAAGGAAGGAAGGAAGAAAAGGGAAGGGAAGAAAAGAGGAGAAGAGAGGGAGGGAAATTAACTGGGCATGGTAGCACAGGCCTGTAATCCCAGCTACTTGGAAGGCCTTCCAGCTTCAGATAAAGTATAATAGACCAATCTTTTGAATCATTATTTCTATGAGTCTGTCTTAACTTTAATAAGTTATGCATATGGATTCTTAAAGTAAATATGAATATTCAAAGAGTATAAAAAATACAGTCACTCATAGTCCCAGGTAACTAATGACAAACTCATGACACACTTAAATTTACTAGAAATATATAGTCTTAAAGCCCAATAAATTCAAATCCTCATTTTTACCTTCTATACAGTATGCCTTTTATTTTTGTTGTTGTTTTGTTTGTTTTTGTGGTATTGGGGATTGAACCCACAGGTGCTTTACCAGCTTTTTGAACTACATCCCTAGCTTTTTTCAGTGAAGTTCCTGGTCTGGCCTCGAATTTGTGATCCTCCAACTTCAGCCTCCCAAGTCACTAGGATTACAGGCATGTGCCACTGCAATAAGTTTCTTAATACAACAGTGCCATCAGAAACCATGATCATCAACTTGATTCTCAGAACAGATGAACCTGGTAACATTTTAGTAGATACTGTGGTATAAAGATTCCTCTCCCCCTTTCCTAAGAATCCCTTGTGTGTAGCTGTGTCTGGCTGGGGTCTTTTCACCTCTTCATCCCATGCACCTCCACTCCGCACACTATCCCTGAGCCACTCTAGAAACTGAAGCAGAGAATCGTGATTGCTTTCTAAGACACACATATACAGAAACACACACACATAAAGTTTGTCTCAGTCTTGGGGAACAACTTCATATTTTAGAATGTACTTTTATCTAGGTTCACAGTTTGCTAAATATAAAAATTATGATTCAACAGGAAATTGGGTAAGTCAAGCAAAAATTGCAGCATGTGTTCGAAGATTTTGCTGTCTCAGTGGTTAGAGTTGTTAACCACCACTTTGAGCTCTGGGCACAATAACCTGACACAAAGCTAGGATTGGCTGATTTTTTTAGCATGTAAATGTAAAATCCTTAGCAACAATGTTGTCTCAGCAATCAGATGATTTAAGATCTTCCTGAGTACTAGAGAAATAAATTCCCAATGGCTAAAAAAGTCACTGTATTGATAAACTGGTTTTGAAGATAATTTTTAACCCTATATTGGTTTTATGACATATTCATGTGTACAAAAAAATATTAAAAAATATCTGAGGGCTGGGGTTGTGGCTCAGTGGTAGAGTGCTCGCCTGGCATGCTTGAGGCACTGAGTTCGATACTCAGCACCACATAAATGTAAAATAAAGATATTGTGTCCACTTAAAACTAAAAAACAAATATTTTTTAAAAATACCTGAGTACACACAACTCGTTTGGTTGGATATTAGCATTGTGGCAAACTTTCATCCTTCCTCTTATTTTAAAGGAGTGACACATTTTGGGCATAGTTGAATCCCTCTGTATGCCTCCCCTAGGCCACTCCCCCCTCCCCTCTAGGGCCCCCCACCATTCTAAATCGGTGGCTATGTTTTCATGATAGGCTTGTCAGGTCTACCACACTGATCTGCAACCCACAATGTATGCCCTTGTTTTTGCACTTTAATTTTTCATCTAATATGTTTGTATTCATTTCACTTGATGCTATAAATATATACTTTTTTCTAACTGCTGTATTCCATTACCAGAATACATTTTGTATCATTTTTACTATGTGGCTTGTATGGTTATATATTTTCTCAATTAAACAGTTTAAAAGTCCTCAAGGACTGTCAATTAAACAGTTTAAAAGTCCTCAAGGATTGTCTTAGCACAGCTAATATTTCCTTTAGATGAGTGATTTCAAATTCAAGTTTTAAACCCAAGAACTATGTTGGGTTTAAAGTTTTACAACCATGTTATCAGAAACCATGATTATCAACTTGATTCTCGGGACAAATGAAGCCAATAATATGTTAGCTATTTACATTTTTGTAAATTACATTTTTTACTATGAAATGGTAAGGCTGTTGTGAAAACAATGAAGTCTTATAAATGTTGCTCTGTGACCAAGCCTCATCCAGTGAACCAGCTCGGACATCTTCAGGGCCCACATTTTCCCTTCCAATGGAGATGCCGCCAGATGCAGGGTACCAAGGACCCCTAGCCACAGAAGTACCTCACCTGCTTTGGTTTCCAGCCTGCTCAGGTCGGAGCTGCTGGGGCAAGAGGAAGCCCTGGCGCGCCTCTTCCCCTGGTCCCTAGGAGGAAGCAGAGCACACAAAACACTCAGCTCAAACAGCAAGGCATTTCTATTTTTGTAAACTGGCTTTCCACAGTTTCTAAAGAAACCACAGAGATTTGTTTATAAGATGGGTCTTCATGCTCCATGTCCTGTTTACTTTGACCTTTGATTCCCAACTAAGATTTACCTTGGAAAAACAAGTCAATTTGCTTAACAATATGAAATTCAGTTACTAGAAAGAACCAAAAAATAAATCCAGAGTTTACTTTGCAAATGAAAAAGAATTGATTAAGGATATAGACCACAAGAGGTCACTGTTACAATAAGAAAGAACTCCCGGTGGCTTGGTTCAAAAGCCTAGCTAGGCTTTGGGAGCTGGGAGAGAACTTGTCCCTCTCTATAGACAAGGAAACTGTGTCTCAAACAAGCCCAATGCCCAAGGTCACATAGCAGGGTCACTTCTGGAATGTGGGTCTCATAATTTCCAATTCACTGTTCTTTCCACTACATCACAGTATGTCCTGTTTCCTTTTTTAAAAATAATTAATGTTGTCTAAAAATGTTTTCTTAGAAATATTTTAAATGTTAAAAAACTGAAGGTATATCCAGGCAGTCCCCAGATGACAGATATTTGGGGTTTCAAATACGAGTGGTGGCTGGTCAATGGGACAATAAGCTCAGGTTTTTTAAAAGTTATATTTAATGTATGTACTGTCTCTGAAAGATACAGCTTCCCTTTATAGCTAATATCTAAATGTTCTTTTTAATATCTGTATAAAAGTCCAAGGTAAAAAGCACCGGTAGACTGAGTTCAGATTTTACAACAAAATTTCTTTTGGGTGACTCAGTATAATATTTTCTCCAAAAAAAAAAAAAAATGCATCTACATATGGCCATGGTCACCTGTGGACACCTGTGTATGTGTGTCTGATGCTCCTGCTTCCTGTGTAGTGAGATCCCAGGGAACACTCAAGACATGTCGTGGCCCTTAACCTTTATTACTGTCCTGAAGATTGTTCTCCAAATATCATTTTTTCTTTAAACATGTCCTTTTAAAATTATATAACACTTTCTTTTATCATAAAATGGAAAAAAATCAAGCTAATTTAAAAAAAAACCCTAATTAATCCATACACTGCAATAGTTATTTTTGTACACCATAAAAACAGATCTGGTAGCAAGATGGTCCTAGCCAATCAAAGAAGGCAGAAATAAAGGAATGCAATCCAATGAAAAGGTAAAACAAAAGAGAGTTCAACAGGGTGTAATGTCAAGAAAGCATCCCTATTTATCACTCCTAGAAATAATAAGAAAGTTGGAGAATAAAGGCAAGACTGCTGCCTTCTTCTTTTTAAAATGTATGCCTGCCTTAAACAATTTTTGAAGTCAACCAAGATCATTTTCAACTAATGGACTTTCAAAGTCACTGGTCCACTCTCCCTGAGGTCATGGCCAGTGGTAAGGTGCTTCCATTAAGTATCACATCTGTGTATCCTCATTTCTAGAAAAGGCAAAATAAAGAAGGGTCCTTATTATGTACAAGAACTTGGCAGCACTGTGTCCTATCAGTTCTCAAGAAGAACACAGAATTGGGACGAACTGTCTGATTACCATGGTGGAGTATTCTGCCTGGTTTCAAATCCTTGGTCTAATTTTTTTTTTTTTTTTTTTTTTTTTTTACTGGGGATTGAACCCAGGGGCACTTTACCACTTAGCCACATCCCCAACCCTTTTTATCTTTTATTTTGAGACAGGATCTCTCTAAATTGCTTAGGGCCTCGCTAAATTGCTGAGGCTAGTCTCAGATTTGCAATCCTCCTGCTTCAGCCTCCCAAATTGCTGGGATTACAGGTAGGTACAACTTTATCAGCATTGTGAACTAGGGAAATTTAGAGAAAGTTTTTGTCATCTGAAAACAAGGGCAATGCCTCCATGTGGTACAGTGACTAGCATGCAAGAAGAACTTAATAAATTGTCGATATTATTTTTCTTTTTCCCTCAGAGTTAATAACCTGTCTGAATAGTCCAGTGCTGGATAAAAACACACAAGGCATTTCCCTGATGAAGTTTAAAATCTACTTTGAGAAACTAAGGAATACATTTTAACATAGAGGAATGCTGAGAGAAAAATGATTAGTAATTTGGAGAAGTAGAAAATAAGGTGGGCCTTAAAAGAATTAAAACTGGCCAGGTACAATATATACTTGTAATCCCACCCATTTAGGAGGCTGAGGCAGGAAGATTCAAAATTTGAAGCCAGTCTGGGCAATTTAGTAAAATCCTGTCTCAGAATAACATATAAAGGGCTTGAAATATGGCTCTGTGGTAGACCACTTGCCTAGTATGCATGAGGTCCTGGATTCAATTCCCAGTGGTGAAAAAAAAAAAATCAGGGGCTGGGGATATAACTCAGTTGGTAGAGTGTCTGCCTCAAATGCATAAGGCCTTGGGTTCAATCCCCAGCACCACAAAAAAAAAAAAAAAATCAAACTAGCAAATGACAACACTACTCTCAAAAGAGGAGAAAAGCATGAGTAAACATGAAGAGGGGCATGGGAACCCATACTCAGGGTAGGGGACAACTACACAGAGAGAGCATAGTGGCTACAGAGGTTTCCAATTTCCCATCTACTGGACGAATTGGAAACAGCTTCCTGAAACTTTGTCTTGGGTAATGGACCTAATTTAATGGGCAATATAGAACCGTTAAAATAAGAAACACTGTTAAAATAAGAAAGAACTCTGGTGGCTTAGTTCAAAAGCTTTGGGAGCTGGGAGAGAACTTCATCCCTCTCTACAGACAGGGAAGTGCTGGGACCTTGGTTAGGCAATGACAAGAGTACTGAGAGGCTTGGAGAGAGGCAACAAGGTCTATTCTTTTGACAGTGGGCCTGAAAAAGAAGGAACAAAGCTAAGAGATCCCATAAATGAAGAGTTGATAGATGTGACTGATGACTTCAGGCACTAGAAGAATAGAATATAGATCTAGCAGAACAGGATGGGAGGGCTACCGTCAACAGAAAAGGAGATTAGGGAGTAGAATGGTTTGAGGATCAGGCAAGTCTGGATTTTACCTTGTTGAGTTTCTAATGATAAATGGAACATCTGCAAAGGGAATGTGGAAATTTAGAAGGAAGGCTCAAATAAAGATCAAATTGGCACAAAGGGACCAGAGTCATCACAAGAGTGGTTCAAAGACCAAGAGACTGGGGACAAGACCTCATCAGACACTCATGAATAAAGGACAGAAACGGGGGGAAAAGTCCAGAAGGAGGGAAATGGCTGGGTGTGGTGGCACCCACTTGTAATCCCAACTACTCAGGAGCTAAGGCAAGAGGATCACAAGTTGGCAATTTAGAAGGATCCTGTCTGAAAATAAAATAAAAAGAGCTGGGGATGTGGCTCAGTGGTAAAGAGCTTGCTTAGCAAGCATGAGGCCCTAGACCACATGTCCCCATGTGGTCTAAGCCTGTGAGAAAGAGGAATAATTGACAGGTCACAGAATCTTAGAACTTGGAGACAAGGTCCAGTCTGGGCACGGTAGGCCTTCCAAGGTTTCCATGGAGCACCACGACTGCAGTCTCGTAGTGAGTGAGCAAGGAAGAGAGGCATCAAGAAAAGAAAACCGTCTTTCCCTGAAAAAGGACAGATGGCCTTAAGTCCTCCCACAGAAATCTATCTCCCTCTTGGTACTACTAATGGGAAATAAATCTTCCCCCTGCTTTCTCCTGATAATCCTTCAAATATTTAAAATGTTGCACTCAACATTTAAAGCCACTTCCTGTGGTTTCCACCATGTATAGCTCAGTGACCTTGGGTAAGATTTTGAGCTAAGCTTGGTTTCCTCATCTGTGTATGAAGGAGTAGTAAATAACGGTCCCCTCCAACTCAAACTCCTTATGAGGATTCAAGGATATAATATGCAATTCCTTAGCACAGTCCCCAAGAGCATGGAAAGTACCCAGTAAATGTTTACTATTCTCATTATTGTCATCACTGTTAACAGACTCCTCCAGCCCTTCAGCTGTCCCCTATAGGATCTGGTTACAAATCTCTGCCAGCCTGTTCTTGAGTGTCTTACTGTGCTTGAGTGTCAGTCTGTCTCTATCTTTTTAAATGTCTGGAACCCAGCTGAGCTAATGATAAGGCATAAGGGGGAAAAAGCAGATATTTGAAATAATGCAGCCTAAAATCCCATTAGCAGTTTTGGTGGTCCCATTGCAGTATCGGTCAATTCTTATCTTTTGTGCAGTGAAGGCAGATGTTCCCCATCCGTGTTGGATCTTTACTCATTCTTATTAAATTCCACAAATTCGTACTTGGCAATGGGTTCCTGCCTATCAGATGTTTTTAGATCTTGATTCAGTCATCCAGTATAATTGTTCTTCCCAGCTTCCTGTTCCATGTTATTAAAGATCATAATTAGATTGTACAATGATTTTTTGATGTACCCAAAATATAACAATTCCAGAAATTAGTCCTTAAAGTTCTTCTGTGCAATTCTTCTTAGAGGCAAAACAACACTATTTCATTAGTTAGGATATCTTCATCTACATATAACAAAAACCTAATTCAACTGACTTCAAAAGTAAGTGAAATTTACTGGTCCACGTAACACAAAAATGGACAGGTGGGGTGGGTTTTAGGCATGATGTGATCAGGGCTTTGATCAGGGCCTCTGCAATTCTGTTAGTTCTGCCACTCCCTTAGTTCAGTCCATAATCAGGTTGGAGTCCTAATGGAAGCAACATGTAGATTTTATATGACGTTCTCAGGCCTCTCCTCTGCTGCCCTTACATTTCAGGACACAAGCAAGGTCTTCTCCTCCTGGTCATTAACAAGAGTCCGACATGTTTTGTTTTGAACAACCAGAACAAAGCTCTGTAGCCAAAACAATTCTATACATGGGGCCACAGAGTTACCACTGCCCAACTGTGAATCAATCATGTCGGCAACATCTGCTCCTAGACCACATATACACACCAGAAATAAAACTTGTCTTTAAAGTATCTTTAA